AGTCTTTCTCATATTCTCCCCTAGATTTCTCTAAAAAACTCCCACAAAAAGACTTAAAACTATTCATACTTAATACAAAAATGGACTCAGGCACCATGACACTTGACAAGGTAGCACTGAAGTGTTTGAATATGACCTAGAACCTCGATGTTGCTCCACTATGATGTTGGCCTAACCCAACATCTTTGTTGATTGAACTAGTGCAACTTTTGGTTGAGCTAGTGCGACATATATTTTCCTTAACAATTCAACTATGGCACAACAAAAAATGTTTGTTGTGGTGCTTAACTATGCTTTCTAGTGCTGTGGTATTTCTTAGTTTGGTGCTTCTTCATTGAATTATTTGTAATTTTTTTCTTGAGACTCTGGAACTAAATTGTCCAAAACTGATATTTGGGTGTTGAAGAAGCTACAATGCTGATAGTCGTTACACTGCGACACTGGTTATAAACTTTGCACATTTGGTTCATTAAACATTCCTGCATAGTATCAACTAAAACATACCTCTTTACTAAAATATAACAAAATAAAATGCAACATAATTTTCTCTCAATGAATCCCTCCAGTTGAAGCTCTTGTTTTTCCTCAAGCAATTACATTTATACCTTTGATTTGCTTTTATATTCCAAATAAAAAAAATTATAATTTAAAACTATTTAAAATGTAAGATTCTACCATTTAAATATAAATTATAATGATCAAAGTGTAGAAATTTTAATTTAAAAAATCATGAAAAATCATCCTAAGAAATCATCTTTGTTAATATCCAAATTGAGCTCTTCTACTATAAGTGTACGTGCAAGGTTGACTATAGGTCTTAGACACGAATAAATTATCATTTAGAAAATTTTTGTACCTTAGTTAAATTTGAAATTCATTCATAAACCTTCATATGTTTTAGTTTATTTATACTCCCTTATTTGACTTGAGTATTAGAATCTTTTAAGAATACAATTGTATAAGATACAAATTTTTGATGTTTGATGTACACAATTTTCTTTTCCCTTCTTCCTTTTGATGTTATTTTCATGTGTTTCTTTTTAAACTTATATGAGTACTAAAGTAAGGATTTTGAAAATATGATTGCTTCTTCCTTCAAGTAATCCTAAATTGAAATAATACAAGGATTGTTATAAGTTCACTAATTCCATATTGGAGTTTATAATTATTTTCAACAAAATATAAGCACTCCCGCTTCCTAAACTTAGTTATTCAATTTTGTAACAAATAGTTCATGCTCATTTAAGTTCAAAATGAAGTATTAACTTAGATAATTTTCTTAGTTTATTATGTTGATTTCAAGTTATAAATTATCGTTCTTTTAAGTTAGCACCTATAGTTTTATATTATTCTTAATTTTAAATAATTTTTAATTGATATTTTCATTTTGGTTAACTTGCCTATCATAGTGTAAAATATGGAGGACATTTCAATAATTAAGCAAATTAAGAATTTTATGTCTATGGAAATTTAACTAACAACAACTAATAACAAATAAAATAAAGAGCACAAGTAACAAAATAAAGAAAATTAACTACTGCAAAGAAAATTGATTTCAAACAAAATGCATTAACAACAACTTGTACATCTTGCACTAAACTCATCAAGAGCTACAACATTACAACCATCACAAGGACCTCCCCAAGCAAAGAACATAAAAATAAAGAAAACAATAACCAACCAACCAATAACAACATCCATCATCTCCTCCTCTTTCTATCTCTCTCTTAAGAAAATAAAGTAAAAAAAAAAAAAAAATACAACAACAATAACCACTATCAATTGTAATCATCCTCCTCCTCTTTATCAAAATTTGTAGCCTACAGGTGCCACACATAAGAATCATATGTAGGGGCTGCAAGTAGGGGTGGATCTAGCCTTAATTTTTAGGGGTGGGCAAACTTATTATATAAAAAATTAAATTAAAAAAATAAAAAAATATTTAAGCTAAAATTCTCTTATACTCCTCATGTATATAAAAAAAGCCAAATTACCTTCAATATGAGAATGTCAAGGTCTTTATAGTAGCAAGAACAATGAGGTCACCACACCAACGATCTTGTATGGGATGGAAAGGATCAGTGGCAACAAAAGTAGAATAGGTCGTCCGTTGTCATGCAGAGAATAACGTTGCGAGCGGCTAGCGCGGATAGGAATGATTAGTGCAGAGTGAAGGTTGCGAAGATGTGGAAGGCTGGGAAGATGCTGAAGTGCAAAACTATAATTCGAAAACCCTAGCATGTAAAGTGGTGCACACACTTAGCCAAAATTTTGGATGAAAAAGGGTAGGCGCACATAGGATAGGGTGATATTAGGGTAAAAAATATTCTTGAGAGGGGACAAAATTTCAAAATTAACCTTCATATAAATTTTTTTTTTTTATTTTGAGGGTTGACATTTTCCCACCCCTGACTTATATGGGGATCCGCCCTTGCTGGCAAGAATTAGAGCTAATTAGGGGTCTCTACAAATGACTCCTCTTAAACATTCTAACTAATGCTTCATTGAATTGTGAAGCATAATTGTATTTCTTTATTACATGTTCCATATATGATACATCCCCAATTACCACTCTCTAGACTCATCACAAAATAGTCACACTCTCCATTTGCTCCCTAATGTCATTAACCTACTCTCCTACGGATCTGAGCACTCTGACTACTACTACTGGGATGGCTAGGTAATCGAGGCTCACTAGGTCATGCTTTCTCCTCATTTCATCCCTTCTGAAATCTCTCTATTTTTTGCTTGGTGAGAAAAAATGGGAACAGTTGCTCCTCATTAGACTCTCCTAACACACTAACAATGATATAAAGGGAATATACAAAAGATGGATAACCTAAACCAATTGAAGTGGAGCCCCTAATGATATACATTAAAGAATAAAAGATTAACTTCCCCACATGAATCGAGTGACCCACCTGAATTGCATAATTCAAAATTGCCCTATCCCGAGTCACCTCACTAATATTTTTTTTCTTGGCTGAAATCTAACATAAATGAAATAATGACGAGCCTTGAACAATTGAATTAAACATTAATAAGGGAAATTAATAACTTTTTATCTCTCTCTTTCCATACTACACCACTCCTAGGATTAGCTAACACTCTTAAAAGCTCCTAGGGGTCTACAAGTGCATTACTAAAAGAAAAATAATCATCAAAATCTATGTCTATTAGTTTATACATCATATTAATACTAGAGGGTTTAAAAGGTACCCACTTACCCCTTATAAAACACATTATTTTGGGCTTCCTTAGCATTCATAATGAACTCTCTCATAATGTCACGACACAAGCACTGGGTTCCTCACACAAGGTCTATCATCCCCTACGACTCACAGTAATGGACATGATCGCACCTCTAAGATTTAGGAATTTTCTCTAAGGAATTAATTGTTCGCTAACAAAAAATTGAGAAAATCTCTCCTCAACCTCAACGAATATGAATCTCCTCCTATCAAAGGAAGAGGAAGCCCTCTTCTTAGTAGTTTGAACTTTAGGGGCTATTAGAAAAATTTGATCAGTATAAAAAAAACACAAAATAACTATGTAAAGGGAAAAGAAAAACTCAAGATCAATTAAAATAATGAAAACCAACCCTTCTTATTTATAGAACTTGACGAGTACTACAGTGCTGCAAAGGGTAATGCTATATGGTATTATGAAGAGATAAATGACAAATGATTAGATTGATAATGATACCGAATGTGAAATAATGTGTGACCCAGTGGTGTAGGTGTTAGAAAATGAAATGATAACTTTTTGACTACAGGATCACTGCAACATTTGATAGTACATACACTATGATGCTGGGTAAAGACTATCACTGCAACACTATAACTGACTAATTATGGTTTTTGACCTATTATTATGGTGCTAAGAGTAGTGTTTTGGTGCATAATAAAAATTTATAATAAAAAAGTTAAGTATATACCATGATGCTGAATATAATGTCCCAGCACTTTAGAAATTAGGGACCTAATGCTGCTGTCCTACAAGAGTGAGCGTAGAAGCATTTATAAGAGAAAGTAGTGATACAATGCTTAATTGAGCAGTGATGTGGCATTGTACCCGCTAGCGTTCTTCTGAAATGGTAGTGCTATAAGGTCAAATTTAGAAGCTACGGTGTTTAACAAGCCAACTTGTAATGCTTTAAGTTCTAATGTTGTGATGCTAATTCAATTTCATCATTACATAAAAAAATGCTGAAAAAATGTTAATTAATTTTTATTCAAGAACCATAATAAGTAAACTCATAAATAATACATACATGATATTTTTCAAAAAATAAAGAACAAAAGCATCACACATCAACAACAAAGTTAAGATTTAACATCAATAGAATTCGTTTACCTTCCAAATAATCCTAAGTTTATAGTTTTCAAAAATACTTGCATACTTTATTGTCTCTATGACAACCAAATTTTAGAGAAATAAGAATTGCAGAATAGGCCAATTTATACGTTCTCCAAGTTATAAAATCTATTTATAAAAATATTTACTAGGGCTTAACATGATGTCAAAGTCACTAGTTGTCACTAGTTAAAAGATCTATTTCATAAGAATATTCATTGGCTTATAGCTTTTTTACTTAAGGGTTTCAAAATCAAAACATTAGAAAAAAATCAATATAAAAATTTAAATATAAGAGACATTTATAAAATAAATCGCCCATTAATTGATTTGGGCTCTTCCCTTAATTCATGGGCGAATAATTTTATTACTTGAGAGCTTTAAAATTAAAATATTTGAAATAAATCAATATAAAAAATTAAATATTAAAAATTTTTATAAAGTAAATCTCCCACTGCACCCCCTCTAAAAATATTCATAGTTAAATCTCCCATTGCTTTTCCCATAATTCATGGGCGAATAACTTTTTTACTTATTGATTTCACAATTAAAATATTAAAAAAATATATAAAATTTTAGAAAGTACAGATCTTATAAGTAAATCGCCCATTGCCCCCCGCCGCGGCCGCGGCATTTCGGTTCCACATGCCTCGGCCGAAGGCAGGGGAGCTCCTCATCAAGACCAAGGGTCTAATCCCTTTTCCACCTCCTCCGTCTTTGTTTTGATTACTCTGTTTTAATGAAATGTGTGACTTGAAATTAGTTTCAAAGTTTGGTTAAAATTGTTCATTTGAATCCGCTTTTACACTTATTTTTCTATTATTTACTTATTTTATGCATGATTGTCCAATACAACTTCAATTTAATTAGATAAGTTGATGCCGTAGTTCACTATCAATATGCCTTACTTTATTCTGAGCCACTTATACAATAGGTATTTGAAGAGTTTTTGACATTTTATTAGATAAGGTACATGAGTATTGCGGTGTTTTCTCAAATCAAGTAATTAAAAAATGTTTTGGTCTATCCCTAACAAATGGCTTGTTATAACCTATAACTTAAGCCTTTAGGTAAAAAATATGTTTATCATTGGTGTACAAGGCCTAATTTTGGTCCCCATTGATCCACATTCTTAACAAAAAGTATCAGAGTTGTTTTTTTGGTGAGGATTACGTGTTTCATCTTTCTAACAACTCCTTCATTCCTCCTTATGCGTGAGAGCTCCAAAAATGTTTTCATTCATTTAGGTACGTTTTTGGGAAGATGAGACATTTGAACTTGACCGCCACATCTACCAATGTATAGGTCTTTTGTAGGGGATCACAACCCTTTAGGAAAATCTCTTCAAGTTGGCAAATGCTAAACTTATCCTCCATTTCAAGTTTCTCTTTTTTACTATGATATAGTTTGATAACCAATTTGGGTACTGCATCTTCATTATGAGCCCAACAAACAATAACTTGTTAACCTTCTCTTTGATTTAATTTTGCATCTCCTTGGCTATTGGCTTTATCTTTTGTCTTATAGAGTTACTACGAATGTGGATATTAAGTTGGTGACAGGTGATATCCATATTTATGTTCGATGCCTATAAAGATTTTGATGCAAAAATATTCAAATTATTTCATAAGAATGGTAGTAATTTTAAATCACCTTACTCTTGGGTGCTGATCTTAAATGTGTCGGTGCTATCTTCAACATTGATTGGGACTTTGGTTACTCCTTCGGCATCCCTAGGATATTCTCATGCTTAATAACCTACTTAAAATTTCCAAGCTTAGAGTTCTAATATAGTTTATATAACATTTCCTTGACTCACTTAAATTTCCTTTTGCAATTGCCATCAATTTGCATGTAAAGAAGTTACTGCTAGATATTATAAAAAGATGATGATTTTAAACCCATTTTGTAGTTGCTAACAAAATATTTCATTATGTTAAAGGAGTCCTGATTATAGTGAGTACTACTTGCTTTTATGCAAAATATTTATTATTCCCATAGGTCACTCTGTTTCTCATCTTCACCTTAAAAAATCAACCAAAGACCCTTCGATGATTGCAAATTACAGGGGCCAATGCTATTCCTTTTAAGGGCATGGTGAAATAAAATACCAAATAAACTACAAAATTAAGTAATATCCTAATTGCATTCCTCTTTATTAATCTTATCCCATCTATTTTGGGTAATTAAAACTTATGGACTTTTTAAATTATTGATTATCACTTTAGTAGTATCATTTAGCTATCTTTTGGTCAGGTGTAGTTTACCTCATTACTCTCCACTCTTCTAAAGCTGAATCTCCGAGAAGACTCCTTTTTTGTTCCTCCTAAGATCACAGATATGACTTCAAAATTTAATTTGACTTGTTCCCTAACTCTCTGGCATACATTGATTCTTTAGGTTTCTAACATGTTCAACTAAGAAATTCCGTGAGGTGCCCCTTCCTGATCAATGTTTCAACTAGAGTCATCAAATGAAAAGTATTGTTGGTGTCACTTCCATGTTCATTGTAGTACAAATGGGGATTTGTTCAATTTGGTTTTTAGAAGGCGCCCGTATGATTTGAAATGCTCCTTAGTTTGGTTGGCCATCATAATTTTGGAGAGGTGTTGATTAAGAGTTTTGATACTTCTATCATTTTAGTTTTTAGGAAGGATCCTCTCTAGGATTTTTGCATCCACCTTAGTTGACTTCACTGTAGTTGATCTGGTGAGTGCTCCGATTTTGAAACAACCATTTTCGCAGTTTGAAGTTGAAGAGATTGTGTATCCTTTGGTGAATCATCAACATTGATGAATTTGTTTGTCCTGATTAGCAACTCGACCATTGCATTTGGAGGATCCTTTTTGGCAACTGCAAATTTAAAGATATATTCAATAATTTTATGCACGAGAACCACTTTAGAAATAGTAGGATCAAGACTATGTACCTTAAATATCAAACGAATCTGGTCACGTATGGCTACAAGGATTTTCCTTTATTTGTTTAATCCACTTCTACAAGATAGAGAAGTGTGCTAGTAGTTTCTTCTTGAATTCCTCGAAGAAAAGGATGCATTCATGAATTTCTCAAAGCAACTGTTGCATTCTGGACGTATTTTTGAGAGTCACTTATGGACAGCATCCTTGAGGGAGGTTTGTAGCGCTCAATAATTGATTTAAATAGACACTGCATGAAGCGCCATAATGGCTTCAAATCTCATTAAGTGTTTAGCAGGGTCTGCTATTCCTTTATAGCTATCGTGTTGAGGAATCTAAAATTTTTAGGGGAAAGACTTTATTGAGAATCTCTAGTACGAATGTAAAATGCAGTTGAGGATTGAAGTATTAACCTTGACCAAAGCTCATTAATCTTGAAGGTTCTTCAACGGAGGACCCATTTTCTTTTTTTCTTGGCGTTCTTTTTGGATCAACGAACCCTAGGTGGTGGATCAATCTTGGGCACCTCTTGTACTAGAATTTTTGCTGACAATGACATAGATCTCCCTTTTGTAACTTTCCAGATAACGCAGAAGGCAATTGAGTCATAGTCATATGTACTAGATTTGATAAATTTGTTTGGATAGAAGAAATCTGCTCTTGAGTTGCATAGCTTATGAATGGTGGACATTCTTCTCATATCCAATCAGTCTTTTCCATCACCTCCGCATTTTAATGAACGCACCAATAATAATAGATACCTTGGGGGATTAAAAGTTGAAAACATTTGCATAGGTTATGGAAGAAGAAAGTGAGCGAACATAATCACAAATTTAGAGGTGAATTCCTTACGAGTGCCTTTAGTGAAACAAAATACAAACTTAAATTCCTCTTATTTGAACTTTGTAAGCTTACATGAAATTTTATTGTTACAGGATGACCTAATTTTGTAACTATGTCACATCGTATGACCATTGCTGGATAAAGGCTTAGAATGACCTAGACTCTCTTGCCTAGGCTTGGTGTTCTTGAAAGCTCAATGAATACTCTTTTTGTGTCTTGTTGTTCCTCAGAGATAAGTCCATGGCATGAAGGGAAACAAGCCTTCGGATAAATTAGCTGGTATAATACAGATATAAGTTTGTATGTACCTCTGGATAAATTGGTATTTTGAGGTATAACTTAATTAAGAAAATTTTATTTTTATCTTATGAAAATTGGATATTAGAACATGAACCATAACTCTATAATTAAGCTTGTATGTACCTCCGGATAAATTAGCTGAGTATTTTAGTATCATAATACAGATATATTTCATCACACTCAAGTCTTGGTTATTTTTGGTTGGAAAGCTTCGGTTGTTCTACCTCTTAGCATTTTTTGTCATTGGATTCTGATATTTCAATTAAAAGTTTGTTTATGCAGCTTGTGGAGTTTGTCACTCTGATCTTCACGTCTTGAAAGGTGAACTTCCATTTTCAAGTCCTTGCGTTTTGGGTCATGAAATAACCGGAGAAGTTGTTGAACATGGTGCCCACACGGATGTTGGCATAACAAAGAGGTGTTTGTGACGCAAGAAAACTTTTGGGTTTTGTTTCCTCTTAGTACTTGTTTTCTTGCTTCGTCATGAAGTTATTTATTCTGATTTGCTATGTCACTGATGACTTATTTTGATATCTTTTACTTTTTGAATGTACAGGTTCCCTATTGGAAGTCATGTGGTTGGAGCATTTATAATGCCTTGTGGCAATTGCTTCTTTTGTGTCAAAGTAGAACCTTTGGGATTTTATTTATTGATTTGTTATCATAACTTGCTAGTTGTAACTTCACATTCATCCGTTTGGCTTTCGTTCCAAGAACTGATTAGATGATCTGTTGTATAGGGCCAGGAAGACCTATGTGAGGCTTTCTTTGCCTATAATCGAGCAAAAGGAACACTTTACGATGGTCAAACCCGGCTATTTCTGCGAAATAGCGGTATTTATCTTTGCACTAACTTTATTCATTGAATTTAATAATGTTCTAAAGTTCGTCTTCACGCCAAAAAGATTCATTACTGCTGCAATTGCCAATCAAGTTACCAAGTGAAATAAATAAATTGCTATTCTGAATTTCTAATACTGGAAATGTAAATCCACCACTACCTTTATGTGGTTCGTCCTGCAAATTCCATTGGTCCGAGTGTTTTCTGGATTGATATAAAACAGAAGTGCTTGGTTTTTTCAGAGCATTTTTTTTGAATGCTTGGCTAATGTCAGGACACCTTTTTTTTATTAGTAAACTCAGAGTCCGATCAACAAAATCACTGCCACGGCATTTGGCTGAACAATTTTCATTGTTGGTGTGAATATTCTATTGGGTCCTCAGACCAGAGTATTAAGAATTAAACTACTCTCTAAATGTATTTCAGAATTTCTTTCTTTCTTTTTTTTTTTTCTTTAAAGATTAATAGCATTTTTTATTGGCTTAAATAAAACTCGCCTCACTTTTAAAATTATTTCAATTTATCTCAAGTTTAATGCCGAAAACTGGAATGGAGTGGATTCACAAATCCATTTATTCCTGCTATGCCTAGTATCCTATAAGTGAATATCTTCTTCTGCCATAAACAGGTTTCTTATTAGTGTTACTATAAAACTACCGAGATACTATTTACTGTTTAGCCTCGGCACTAACATAAACTCATATTTTTAGAGAACCTCTTTAATCACTTTAAGCTCGACATACTTCTCTATACATTCATCAATAAGGTCAAAATCTCTATCATTCATCTTAATTTACTTGGATGCACTTATTTACTTGTTTTAATGGTGTTACTTGTAATTTGCATTCATTGTTATATTAGTGGCATGGGAATTTTATGTCCAAAAATATCATGAGTTCACTCTAAATTGAAAGTTGTTCATTTAACTTGATCTACTTGTATTTTAATCAGAATAAATCCCATTAGAGTTCATTAAGAGTGACATTGGAAGCTCTCCTAACATAGGCCTTGGCTAATTGGTTAGACAGATTCATCAGTTGATCAGTGAGGGTGCTCTGGAAAAGATGCCTTACCTAATCCAGATAGGTTAATTCACTGAATACTTGAAGTTTGTGTAAATCCACATGGATTTAAGCTATCTGTATCTTGGGCACCCTTGTATTCTGACCTCTAATTATAATGCTTCTATATCTTTAAGTAACCCTTCATCTTGAGTTAAGATCAATTTACCTGACCTCCAAATTCTCTATTTAAGGCATTCACCACCACATTAGACTTGCCTAGACAATACTGTATGTCAATATCATAATCCTTTATTAATTTTAGTCATCTTCTCTGTCTCAAATTTAATTCATTCGAGTAAAAATATATTTTAAACTCTTATGATCTGTAAATATTTCACATCTCACACTATATAAGTAATATCTCCAAATTTGTAAAACAAAGATAACACTAGCTAAATATAAGTCTTGTGTGAGATAATTATTTTTATGAGGCTTCAGCTATCTGGAGGCATGTGCAATCACCTTTTTATTTTGCGGTAAAATACAACCTAACTTTTTAAGAAGCATCATTGTATAATTGGAATCCCTCAGTTCCAGATGAAATTGTTAGTACTGGTGTCAATGTTAAATACTTCTTAAATTCCTGAAAACTTTGCTCACATTTATCAGTCCATTCAAATTTAACATCTTTTCATGTCAACCTGGATAGAGGCAAAATAATTTGAGAAAAGCCCTTTATAAATCTTATATAATAACTTGCTAATCCCAAAAAGCTCCTATCTTTAGTCACATTAATTAGTCTTTGCCATTCTACAACTGCTTTCACGTATTCTGGATCTATTGATTTACGTTTACCATTAATAATGTCTCTCAAGAAACAATTTTTTTCTCAACCAAAATCCACATTTAAAAAATTTAATAAATAATTTGTGTTGCCTTCGTAATTCCATAACAATTCACAAATGATGTGCATGCTCTTCATTATTCTTAGAATAAACCAAGATATCTTTAATAAAAATTATTACAAACTGATCCATATAAGTCCTGAAAATTTTATTCATCATATTCACAAATGCTGTCAGGGCATTTGTTAATTCAAATGACATAACCAAAAATTAGTAATGCCCATATCTGATATCAAAAACTGTCTTCTCAATATTACTTTCTTTCACTTTGACTTAATGGTAATCATATCTCAAATCAATTATGGAAAATACATAAATACCCATTAGCTGATCAAATAAATCATCAATCATCGGAAGATGATATTTATTTTTAATGGTTATCTTGTTTAACTCAATGTAATCAATATAGAGCCTCATTGATCATCCTTCTTAACAAATAATACTGGTGCACTTCAAAGAGATATACTGGTCTGATAAAGTCCTTTTTTAAGCAGTTCTGATAAATGAATTTTCATTTCTTGTAACTCTTTGGTTGTAAACTCTACTTTCCTCTTTGGAGGCAAACTATCCAATTCCTCCAGAATAATATCCATAAATTCATTCAGCACATGAATATAATTTATATCATCCATTTCCCCTTTGTTGGCTTCTAATTTTGCCATGGCTTCTAATTTTGCCAAGAAAATCAATTCACCAGCTTTCATACTTTTTGTTTACCTAACTAGAAGTAATCAAGGATGAACATACTCCTTTCGCATACATAAAATAAAATACCTCATCAAATCTGGCTTTTTTCTTCCAACATTCAATAGTAACAAAATATTTGACCAATATATTTATACCCAAAATTACTTTAAACTCCGTTAAGGTAGTACAATTAAATCGATTGGAACTCTCTGCTAGCTATTATATGATTAACTTAACATGAAGCATTGACAAATAAATAATCTCCCCCGGTAACAAAATATTCAAACCATAAGTAAAAAATAATAGGTTTTAAGTGTAATTTGTCATAGAATATCTCTAGCAGGTAAGTTTGAAATAATGATCATACCTATCACCACTCCTTAAGATTCCTTGGCTTCTTGTGAGGTTAAAGAAACAACTCGGGCTAGTACTGGTCTCATAGTTTCTCCAGATGCTTCTCCTTTTATGTTCAAAACGGGTTTACTCAATTGTGACTTAGCACCTCTATACTGCTCTGTCCTTGTCACACCCCATTTTAACCCCTCTACAGTCAAATTAGAGTGTAACAGAGAAGGAGAATCTTAACAGAACATCTCCTTACTTACCCCCATTCTGAACAATGATAACAGAATTAGATAAGTAAAAAGTAGTCTATTCAAACTATCATAACCTCACTAATCATAATACTTCAAAATGTTTATAATAGGAAGCATATATAATATATCTTAACTAAAATGTACATTTCAAATAAAATACAAAGCTTTACTAAAAACCTTTAAAATTTACTTACATATTCAAAAGACTGCACAACTATCATTCAGATATCTTTTTAGATCTCTTTGTACACCCAAAGCATTTGTGTAGACCCAAAAAGAACAGTCACCCCTTTAATGCCCTACGGGTTTCTTTCCCTTTTCCTGCAGTATAACCACTGCTAATAAGTCATGCTCAATGAAATACACAAATAATGTATAAAAAAATTAGTAATAACATGGTGAATAATTATTGAGAACACATGAGAATTCTATATTGATTATATGAAATGCGATACATTTAGAGTTATATGATGGTTATAGGCTTTTGCACTTTTCAATTTTTCAATTCAAGGTTAGGTCAAGATTCCCAACTTTAATAATTGAAGCTGCTCTCTCATCCAAGGTTTAGAATGTTAGCTTACCTCGTCAGGTCTTTCGCTTTTACTTGTGCGGGCTTATCCCCATATATGGCTTATTTCACTTTCTCAATAGCAATCCTTTTTAACCCTCATGACATATGCTATTCAAAAACATATTCTTCATACACGAGTAAACTAAAGAAATCATACATGTTCATACAAGACTAAACTAAAGAAAATTGAAATACATACTATCATAAACATAGTAAATATGAATTTGAATGAAATAAAGCTTTTACTAATTTCTATAGCATAGTTTAGGTTTCTCACCTCGTTTTTCAGAATAGTTGGATAATTTGGTTCATGTGAAGTATCCTGGCCTCTTTTCCTTTTGCATACCATCTCAAATAAACTTCTCATCTCAATTAGTCACAGTTCCAACAACCTACTAATTTCAGCACTCATCCAACATTCAACAAATAATTGTGTTCTTACCTCTGTTTCTTGAAAGTTCTTCCCACAGCAGTTCTTACCTCATTTCCCTACTGTTTTCAGCAAAAGGGCAACAACATCGCTACCTAATTTTTGTAACAGGAATACCCTCACCTAATATACTTCAATAAAACAATAAATTCTACAAGAAAACATTAATTTCTGCACTTAGTAGCAGCTCTTCTTCACTGCTACTTCACTGCTTTCTTACCTTCATGTTTTCTGCAGTTTTTCCTCTATTTTCTCACTGTTTTCTCCCTTATTAGTAACTCCTGCAGCAAAAGAAATTACCTATTTCCTGAATCTTTCCAGCAACATGCATCAGCTCACATAGAAAACACCTCCTCCCAATGGCTTTCCCGCTGCTTGCTGTCGAACTTCAGGAAAACGGAGAGGAATGAGAGGAATGACGAATTGGAAGGAAGGAATACGCTAGTGCTCACTTTGTTTAATATTATATCTTATTAATTCTCCACTACACATCCACTAATCCTTTCCTACACTTCTAGCCGTTGGATAAAAGTAACCAATGCATGTTGAGTTAGGTGATTAAGCTACAGTAATATAAATAAAATAATAAAGTGACTATGAATATATAATTATAATTAAATAGTTAATTAACTGAGGTTGATATATAAATAATTATTCCTTAACTATTTATACATATACCATTAATATTTTGCATGTACTTTTATATGTCATAATGCTCGGAATAAAAGTAGGATTTGATGAAAATAAATGAATAATTAGAGGAAGTTAATACTTACATGTATTTATAATATTTTGGGTAT